AATAATAACACCTGGACTTACCACAACTTTCACATCACCCCTCACTCAGTCACAGACCAAACCAGTTCATCACTCACTCACCAAATTGCTGACCCAATATCTATTGAAGAGGCGTAAATTTTATAGACAAATGACATATCGATATTATTGCTGCAGCAGATACAAATACCAACATTATTATATTCCCAAACGTTTGAACCATTAAATTAACTAGGAAATTCAATCATCAACTTAACTTTTACTGTTTAAAACTGATATGATGATATTAACTTAACTTATTATTTTTTTTACATACTTCTTCTTAGTGTGGTGACTTGGGGTCCATAAATATAACAATACAAGCTGATAAACCAAAAAGAACAACTGGGGTAGGTAGGTAGCCCTGGTGGGTGCGTAAACTTTACGGTCTGCTCTCTCCAAGATCAGCCTGCTTCTCCATTTTACCGTGAAGCCTAATTTCTAGTTTTTATAAATACAATGCAAGTGCAGGTTTACTAATCTTAATCTACTTAACAACTCAATAGCCCAAGTCACCATACCCGTAGTATATTCCATGGTAATAGAAGAACTTTAAAGTTTTTAAAATTGTTGCTATAATTGATTTAAATAAAAAATTTGTTGTTTTCTTGAAATTTGTTGTTTTCTTGAATAGCCGTGTCCTCTAGGACACACGACAACCAGTTCTTGGGAGGCCTGGTCTTCCTCTAGACCTTTTGCCATGCTTTGGGATCCAATGTAGAAGATAGTTGGGTATTCTCTGTCTGACTTATTAAAATTAACATTCAAGAAAACAACAAATTTTTTTTTCAAGAAAACAACAAATTTTTATTTAAATCAATTATAGCAACAATTTGAAAAACTTTAAAGCTCTTCTATTACCATGGAATATACTACATGGAGAAGTTATAATTTATACAGACCAATTTATATATTGTAACTTAAGGTTTTATTTATTATTTTTTTTTTGTTTAACTGAATTTTTTGTTTAACTGTATTGTTAATAAAGTTTATATTGAAAATTGTATACAGTAGTCTATAGACCAGTTAAATTATTTTAATGGTCACATGTATCATGGTTAAGAATTTTATGACATTGAACGAATCTATTTATAACAGAAAGAAATGTCAAACAGTATATATACAATAAATTAAATCAAGTGATGCAATTGGCAGAGCACAATCGTAAATCCTGAGCAATAGATATCATCTATCCCTCGTAGCTCTTCTCCTCAGGTATCAGGTTGAAGGAGACATTGGATATAGGGGCAGTCCATGCCTTCTTTGCCTTTCCACGTACACTAGGCTATCCATTATCGGTATGAAATCTTTTATCTAGATAAACAGATAAAGATTTAGGTTTTATCTAGATAAAACCGATAAAACCGATAATTTTTCTGCTGAAGGCCAAAGCCAAAATGTTTTCCAAATTTCGCAAAAACTAATTGTCGACTTTTATTACTGTTTACCAGTAATCTTGCTAAAGTACCATTTCCTTTCTTTTGAAAATATTAGAGCATCAGTTTTCTTCTCCGGGGAGCAGAAGTGCACCAGTTTTCTTCAAAACAGTAGACCAACGGTTTTCTTCTCCTAAGAACAGTAGTGTACCAGTTCTCTTCAAAACAGTAGACCAACGGTTTCCTTCTCCTGAGAACAGTAACGCACTAGTTCTCTTCAAAACAGTAGACCCCACCGGTTTTATTCTCCTGAGAACACTGAACAGTAACGCACTAGTTCTCTTCAAAACAGTAGACCACTGGTTTCCTTCTCCTGAGAACAGTAACGCACTAGTTCTCTTCAAAACAGTAGACCACTGGTTTTCTTCTCCTGAGAACAGTAACGCACTAGTTCTCTTCAAAACAGTAGACCACCGGTTTTCTTCTCCTGAGAACAGTAACGCAATAGTTCTCTTCAAAACAGTAGACCAAGGGTTTCCTTCTCCTGAGAACAGTAGTGCACCAAATACCAATTCTCCTCGAAACAGTAAAGCATTGAAAGTGATTCAGTGAACCGTTTTCTTATCCTGTCGATAACTTGGAGCAACAGATTCCTTCTCCTGAAGACAATGTTTCACGCCCAGAACACTTACGGAATTCAATTGAGTGCCCTGCCGGTTTTTTTTGACTCTAGTTAACAGTAACATGCTCGTTCCTGTCTCCAGAATGGTTGTAAGGTAAAACGCCAGCACCCTCAAGAGAACAATGTCAATAACCTTCTCTGGATTTCTACAGTTCATACAGTTCTACAGTTCCATAGGTATACAAATGTAAATAAACCTCTTAAGCTCACATCTAAGTAAACTACCTCTTCTATCATACTAGAAGACGTTTGGGACTGTTTCTTGGATTACTTGGGAAGGCAAAAACACTAATATTTCTTTACAATTTTACGGTATTGTGGCAGTATTTTCGGTAATATCTAGTGAATTTTTATACCGATAAAAATATGTTTTATCTAGATAAACAGATAACTTTTTTTAACGAATTATCGGAGATAATTATCGGTAACGATTATCGGAGTGGATAGCCTAACGTACACCTCTAACTGCTACTAGCACACTCCTCATTATATCCATGCTCAGGCGTGTCCTGATGTTACACATCACCTGGCTGTAGTCCTCCTTTGTCTTGGTGGCTATCAACACAGCAAGTCTCCTTATGAAACGCTTGGCCTCCGGTGCCATTCCTCCTGTAGTGGTAAATACAAGGGGGACGAATGACCCTTTCTCCAATTGTAGTATCTATTTATAACAAGTATTAAAGACTGCTAGTATTTTTATTTATTTGTTTTCACTTCTGTACGTTTAGGCAGTTGCTCTTGTGACCAGAGTTTAAGAGTTATATATATATATTGTATTTATTACCCTGGTTTTTAAAATGGTCTACCGTTTTGTTGCATTTACTATATCGGTTTTTGTTTTCGCGGTGTCCAACCTTATAGCTAGACAATGACTATTGCTGTTATATCATGTGTATATTGTCTTCTCTTTATTAATAAAATAATTTAGATTGTTAAGATATTGTTAAGAGCCAGTACATTGAATTTTCATTTGGCTTCTTTTACTTCAAATGGTTTTATAAATGTTTCCCTGATTTTTCAAGATTATAGAATTTTTAAGGGGTTTTTACTTTGAAATATCTTTGAAAAAGCATTCATATACGTAAGTAACATATAATAATAACTGGCTTGAACTGAATCTTTGGGTTTTGAGTTCTTTTTGGCTATAAAGCGATGTATAAATTTCTAGTTATTATTATTATATTAAATATGATTACCGCAACCAATGCAATTATGGTTTAACCGCCATGTTTTGGTTCAGCCGAAATAAATTTTACAGATGTTTTAGGAAAGAAAAAAATTGTTTACATTAAAATGTTTCTCACTCCAGCTGCAGTCTGCACTAATATATTTCTAGCTTTCATATTTCATGTTTTTTTCTCATATAGTAGATATTTTGGTCTTGTGTACGTAATTGTATTTTACATTGTTGTAAAATTTATTTGAATCTTGAAATAAAATAAAACTACTATCCGACAGCTATAAGCAGCTGCCTGATTATTAGAATGTCTGAGTTGGAGTTTGATGATGAAGTTGATGCTGAAGAAGAAGAAGAAGAAGTAGCTGATGAAGAAGCAGAAGAAGAAGAAGTAGCTGATGAAGGAGCAGAAGAAGAAGAAGTAGCTGATGAAGGAGCAGGAGGTGAAGAGGCAGCTGATGAAGGAGCAGGAGGTGAAGAGGATGATGATGATGATGAAGATGATGATGATGACGATGATGACGAAGATGGTAACCTTAATTATTAACACACTGAGCTGTTGAACCACAGATAAAAACATATTACTTTGGCATTTCCTTTTGGAAAAAATTGTATTTAGCAGTAACATATATTTTGATGTTACAATTCTTAGAACAAGAATGTTAACCTTCAAACACAAATACCAGCAATTTACTGTGGTCTATCAATTATATTTCAGTATAAGTAAGAAATCTTTAATTTTGTTTCAGATGAAGAAGACCTGGTTGATCCATTAGTTACAGAAAGAGAGCGCTGCATCAACTCCTTTGACTGCCACGGTTTCAGACATGCCCTTGAAGCTTGTAATGCCCGTGTTAAAGACGAAGGCATCCAAGAGAACTGCACTCCTGAGTTCTTTGACTTGTTAGAATGTCGGGACAAATGTGTAAGTCTGAAAGTTTTGCTCCTGAGCGAATTAAAAATAATAATAAAATAGTTTATTATAATTTCTTTAAATATTAAAAAGCAAGAAAACTTTAAATTTATTTAATGTCATTTAACCTATAATAACATCAAAGGAAACTGATTTGCCGATCTTTAATAAGTAAACATCAAATACTATTTCAACATTAACCAACTTGACATATAATGTTTCACAGGTCGCTCATGGAGATATCTTCAAAACCTTGCTCAAATAAGGAGTACCATCATGTACCTAGATCAGTGTCTGCTGTTGTCCGGACTCTTGTGACGGGCTCTACCAATATAGTGGTGTTTGAAATACTTCTCTGAAGGAACTTAGGGGTTTTGTTTGCTTTCAAGAAAGGGTTGTCACGAGAATTATTAACTGCCTAGGCTTTTTCTATGTTAGGAATATAACCCATGATAATAGGTTCCTTTGTAACTAAGAAAATAATGTGTTATAAGTATAGTCCGTCTCTTTAATTTATTGAATTGCTTTAGATTGTGTTTTGTATCGTGTATTTAAACATCCCATTTCTCATGACATAATGCAATTGTTTTCAATGTTTGGAATCAATAAAAATCAGCCAGTTATTTTACCCTAGCATCCAATTATACTGTACCAAAATACTATAATCTTTATAGCAAACAAAAAAGTTGCAATTTATATTTTATTATGACTTGCTTAATCCTTCACGAAAAGGTTGTAAATGAGATTCTGTTCCACAATAATTGTTCTCTGGCATCTCTTGTCAATTCAATTCCGTTAATATTCTCAAATACTAACCGTCCCGTATACAGTACATCACACAGTAATGTCTGTATGAGTAGTCGTTATGGTCGCGGCAGGGCAGCACCACGGGGTGATCGCTACTATCAGGATAAGAGATCACATTATAATGACGACCGCGCCTCCTCCCAAAGGTCCCAGCAGGACGAGAGACCGCCGTATGATGAGCGGCCTCCGCGACGTGGTGGGAGAGATTCCAGTAGAGGAAACAGGTACATCCTCCAGTGACTTTATTCTTCATACTTTTAACAGTGCTTCAAATGAATGCATTTTATGTTGTACCTTAATTGAAATTTGTTAAGTTGCCTCTTTATCAAGTAAGTTGAAATCAAAGTCTCCGTATATCACACTGAATTCCCTGCTCCATATCACGTGACTGAGTGTGTCCCACGTGACTGAGTTTGTCCCACGTGACTGAATGTGCCTCAGGAGAGAGGAGACCCCGCCGAGGAGACGGCGTGAGCGGCGCGGCAGCTCCACTCACCACCACACCAGTCACCACGCTAACAGCGGAGATGCTAACGCGCAGATCAACCAGATCATACGCAAGTTAGAGCGGGATGATAGGAGGGAGCGGACTAGACTCGCTGTTCAAGTAAGTTAACTGGGAAATGTTAAACAGTAGTTACCCTAGTTACAGCTGGTTACCCTAGTTAGTAGTTACAGCTAGTTACATCTAGTTTAAGTTACCCTAGTTACAGCTAGTTACCCTAGTTACAGCTAGTTACCCTAGTTACAGCTAGTTACCCTAGTTAGTAGTTACAGCTAGTTACCCTAGTTAGTAGTTACAGCTAGTTACCCTAGTTAGTAGTTACAGCTGGTCACCCTAGTTAGTAGTTACAGCTGGTTACCCTAGTTAGTAGTTACAGCTAGTTACCCTAGTTAGTAGTTACAGCTAGTTACCCTAGTTAGTAGTTACAGCTGGTTACCCTAGTTAGTAGTTACAGCTAGTTACCCTAGTTAGTAGTTACAGCTAGTTACCCTAGTTAGTAGTTACAGCTGGTTACCCTAGTTAGTAGTTACAGCTAGTTACCCTAGTTAGTAGTTACAGCTGGTTACCCTAGTTAGTAGTTACAGCTGGTTACCCTAGTTAGTAGTTACAGCTAGTTACCCTAGTTAGTAGTTACAGCTAGTTACCCTAGTTACAGCTAGTGACCCTAGTTACAGCTAGTTACCCTAGTTAGCAGTTACAGCTAGTTCCCTGCGGTGGAAATTATAATCCTTGGGGTCCTTTTTGGTAGTCTCGTCATCCACAGTAGAGCTGTTCTAATGTTCCAACAACCAACAACCTTACAACAGATACAAGAGTTTGCACAAGAGCCCGCCAACAGACAAGTGTTGGAAGCACAGTGTGTTACACTGCTTAATCTCCTGGATCCTATGATTGAGGACGCAGTGGAGAGGGAGAATGATTACAACCTTCCTCGAACCATCGCCAGTATAGGTGGGTGGGGAATGCGGTTATAAGTATAGGTGGGTGGGGAATGCGGTTATACTCGCACCATCGCCAGTATAGGTGGGTGGGGAATGCGGTTATACTCGCACTATCGCCAGTAAAGGTGGGTGGGGAATGCGGTTATAAGTATAGGTGGGTGGGGAATGCGGTTATAAGGGCTGGAAATGTGGGGTATAACAATATGTATACACCTTTTACTGATATTATGTAGTTCTCCTTATTTCTAGAAGTTGATATCTAATCACGTAATTATATCATTAAGTTAATTAATTAATTAACGCTCTGCAGGACTGGGACTAGGATCAAAGTGTAACGAGTTAATTAACTGGCTAACTAACCGACTGATGTCTGCGGACAACACACCAGAAGTTACGGGCTTTCTCCTCAACATCACCAAACATCTCTCTGATAAAAAGGGATCCCTTAGCACAGGTTCGTACTGTGTGATGTCACGTGACGTCACGTGGTGTGGTACTTTTTTAAATAAGAGACTTCTTATTAAAATTATGTTTAATTTGGTTAGTAGTTACTACGAGCACGACATAGTAGTAGTAGTAAGGTCCCTTCTCTATTTGCCTTTAATTAATCGTTAGTTTTTTAGTATTTATTACTTTTAACTGTTAACAACAACTGACAGGTGTCCCATTGCTCATATGAAAATAATCTCAGTTGAATGAGTAACAAATGTATAACAACTTAATTAACCCTTGTCAGGAGTGTTACCGCTGATAGACACTCTGATCCAGCTGCTGGAGAGGTTCGCTAACCCTCAGATGATAATAATCCTACTTGATGCTCTAGTCCCCCTAACTCAGGCCTACTCCAGATTCTTTACTCCTCACTTCACTAACATCATAGGTATTCTACAAGATTTATAGTGATCAACTTTTTAAGATTTATAGTTAAATATAATCTCACCAATCCAATGCGATGTTTACTATAAATAATAAACATTGGTGAGATGAAATGTGTGTGCCAAGTTCTACCTGAAATGTTCCAAAAGGAAAGACGAAGTATTTTATTAGGCACGTGACAGAGAGATTTGTTTCAGATGTATTGATAGGGTGGCACATAGAGTCTGACACTAACGTGGACCTACAGAAAAGTATTTCCAAAGCTTTTCTCTCCTTCAAAGCGTTTTGGCTCAGTGATATCTCCTACCCTCTCTCCCTGATCATGCAGGTGATCGATTGATTTAATTAAAAATCAATTATCTTCAAAATGATGTAGGCTTTGGAAACTATGAAATTTTAACTGACTTTCCAAGCGTTGAAAAGATTTCAAAATTGGCGTAGAACTGTTCCTAAAAATATCTATGTTATGTATGTTACTCATACTTCATCCTCAGCACCAAGATAATCAAGTGAATTATAATATTTGTTAGTATTAAGATTCGGCATTAAGTTAAAACATACCCCAAAAAATATAAATGCAAGCTACTTCCTAACAGTTTGTTGGCGACGCACAGAAACAGCAACACGAAGTGTGCAACAGTCCTTCAATAGACAAGGAAGCAGTCCAGCAGTTCGTCTCATTGATCAAGGTGTTCACTGCTCTGTTATCATCTCTAGAAGAGGGTAAGTTACTGATCAAACCACTTGACATGACGTCACACCACGTGACATGACATCACACCACGTGACATGACGTCACACCACGTGACATGACGCCACACCACGTAACATGACGCCACAACACGTGACATGACGTGGTATGACGTCACACCACGTGACATGACGTGACATGACGTCATACCACGTGACATGACGTCACACCACGTGACATGACGTCACACACCATGTAACATGTCTATATTTCAGTGACGTCAGTATCCCCGAATGTACCAGATTTCCTAAGTAAGCTAGTAAATCAGATAATAGACAGTTCCTCACAGTTACTGTGTGTTCACGCCTCCTACGAGGTGGTGTCAGTTATTGCTAAAGCTACCCACATTGTCACAAAGGTAATGGTAGCTAGTGCTAAAATCTGCGAAATTGAAGTTTCATTTTAAATTTTACTAGTTCTTCTTTGAGTTCCCACTTCCCATCGGTTTTTATATGTCATTGATCCCTAATTCGCCAATTCGCCAGGTTATAAAATGAAAGCAAATTGTAAAATCTTAAATTTCAGTTCAGTAATTACACTTTCTTGAGTAAACATTAACCAGTAAAAAAGATGGTTCCCAATCAATCAAATGTTAAATTCCACGTTTCTGCAGTGTCTGCCAGCCCACTTTGGACACATCTGTGATCAGCTGGTATGTTTCCTGATAGACTGCATTAGTCCGCTAGACTGTACTCCCGCTCCAGATAGCACTATATTGGACTGTCTACACGCTATTCTACATATTACCGGTATAATGTGTACTTGTTGCACTTACCTACTACATACATGCGCCGTTTATTGAGTTCTGCCTGAAAAAAACTTGAAATACCGTGTATCTCATGATCTTATTGAAAACTCATTTGTTAACATTGATAGAAAAGCATGTTTGTAAATATCTTGGTGCTGATCTAACTACCTTACTCGGGATTATTACGACGGGTTTATTAACGACCGGTTAAAATATGGTTCGGGAAAAATATGGCGAAATTGCTCAAAACCCACCACATTTTCCCGGTCGCCATTTTACCGGTGTCCAACCTTTCAATTTTAGATTCAAAAATTTTGTCTCAGATGTAAATTTCCTTATTAGAAATAAGCAAGTTTAGAAATTTTCGCATTGCTAGTAACGTGTTGGTAGTCTAGCACTCTAGAAAATTCGTTGTTTTGAATTAGCATTAAATGTTTACGTGTATCAAATAACCATTATGACTCAATTTGTAGAAAATCTTCGCAAGAATGCATCGTTCACATTGTTTAGAATTATGAATAAATGACTGATGAAACTGATTTATGTTATTGACAGTTTTAATTAATTCAAGTTTTAATTTAACTGTTACTTTTACTTTGAGTCCTATTTCATTATGTAGAGATAGTCAATACCTGAGAAATTAAAAATTGGCCTATTTAAATCAACTTTGACAATAAGGATATATGACAAGAATTGGGCAAAAAGGTGAATTTTTTGCAATTTTAGCCAAATGAAGTCGAAAAACCTACAACAAGTGTCCCAATAGTCTTCTTTAGTGAATATAAGACAACGATTAAAATATGAGCACCCATACCCCTTGGGAACCCTAAAAGCTGAGTTGGCGGGTTTATTAACGACCGGTGAAAATGTGGTTCGGGAAAAATATGGCGAAATTACCCTAAACCCGCCACTTTATCCCGGTCATAATAATCCCGAGTAAGGTAATTAAACTAATTACACTACACTACTAATTTAACTACATCGAGTTTTCAATCACTCTATAATATAAATCTACCCATCACGTGACATCACATAGAACCACGTGACAACCTCCCATCCTCAGATAACGACAGTTCTTGGCTGGGAGCCAGCATCCTAACCTCAATGTTAGCCTCCTCCTCGCCTCTGGTGTCCCTGAGGAATTCAAAGAATGAACAGATCCTGGCGGTTTTGTTCAAGATATTCCAGTCCCTTCTTCAGCTTCACAACTTCAAGCTGTTGGATATTGTGTACCAGTTCATTGTTCAGGATCTTCATATTGCTATTGAGGTTATTTTAATTAAGCTGGCAATTAATTTAATGATATTAATTAAGAAGTTTTCAAAAACCCGTTTGATTATTGTTTATCTATCGTAGTCAGTTTTTGGTATTGTCATTTTTATGAATCACAAAAACGTAATCTTTCAACTTTCTTTAGAAATTTAATCATTTATCATGACGTATAGTATCAACACTCAGCAGTCAACAATGATTTATTCAATGGTAAATGACAATGATCGTGAAAACTTATTAAATAAATAATTTAATTTAATAATAACTTATATTTAATAACGTATTAAATATCTCCTCCCCAAACAGAAAATACTGAAGTGTGTAGAGGAGAAAACAGACCTAAAAGAAGCAGAGATACTAGCTAGCGCAAACCTGGCGCTGCTCACAGAGATGGCGGGAAGCAAGACGCATGGTTTTAGTACCTGGGCCTTAAACCCCACCATCTTCGACCTCGTTACCTCGGTAAGTGGCATGTCACGTGACATGTGAACACCACGTGATTGCTGTGAAGTCATTCTATTCTATATAATGTTAGTTTTAAACTAACGAAACGATCATTTTGTGCCACAGATTTTACTTGTGCCACAGATATTACCTTAAGATCTATAAAGCTTTGTAAAGTTGTTTAGGTCGGCTAGTTTTTCCTGATATATTATATCTGGCACCATAACGTCATGACGTTACACCACGTAGCATAACGTCACACCACGTGGCATGACGTTACACCACGTGGCATGACGTCACACCACCTAATCCCTCTCAGGTACACTCGCCCCACAACTGGATACTAGCTAAGCACTGTCCCAGTGTTCACTACGCTATACTTAACGTTCTGCACGCAGAGTGTAAACGTCATGGTTACTTCCTTCCGGGTTGGTTTTCTTACTTCCTGTTATTTTGTGCTCTTCAAGTATTCATTATTTATACAGGAACAGATTAATCAATTAACTAATGAACACTTTAATTAGTTGCAATCTCCATAAACAGGAGCAGGGACCTCGGAAGTAGTTCAACTACAACCCCACAACACATCACAACAACTGTGTAGAGTACTGAAGTTACTGGCTCTCCTCCTTCCCCACTCTTCTCTTTCTTTTGATAGCAGGTTATTAGTACTTGTCTCTTTATTTTTATAGCACCATATCACCGGTATGTCTACTATCTAGATCTTTTAAAAGTAAGTGTAACCCAGACACAAACTTAACAATGTTACTTCCAGATATTTCTGTCTGCTGTGGGTAAAGCGACTAGTAGAGATAATGAAGAAGGCGGGAGAATGTTCGGAGAGCATGAAGTTTTGCCATTCTGAGCTGCAGGAACTCTCTCTTGCTCTGGTCAGGATAGCTGATGATCCTGAGAGAGATATTCGGTTGGAGGTAATTCTTGTTTCAGATGGATTATTTAAAATACTTATCAGTTTCAGGGATTATTTAAGATTTTAATAAATTTTAGGACGGATCAGTATCTGAAATCGGCCAAATAAAAATTGTTCATAAAATTATTTAAATCTACAAACTTTCATTGATGAATGTGGTATTATTTTTATATTAATTAATTAATTAATGAAATATTAATTAATTAATTAATTAATGAAATATTAAACTGTGTTTAGGTGGCAGGATGTCTGAGATTACTGCTTCTAGCTCAACTACTAACAAATAACACTCAAGTACATTGTCTAGCTGTTTCCATCCTTCACATGGGTACGTAGTCATGGTTACAATGTTACTGGTATTTTGCATTTTATTTTAACAGCTTAAGTCTTAATGTTACTATTAGTCAAGTTATGATATAAATGGTATTTTCATTATAACTGTAATTATTTGTCTCAAAGAAAACATTCGCTTTTATTTTAAAGTCCGACACAAATTGTATTTCAAACCTTTTTATCATAGAGTTCACTATCATCATCATCTCTGCTACTTCTCCCAAAATCCAAACCATGCATTTCCAACTGTACCAAAGACCCTCTTCTCTTCAACTAAACAACTCCAGGAGATGTAGACGGGGCTACACGGGGGGCGTTTGTGGGCGTGCTAGAAGCACTCGCTCCGCAACTGTTGCTAGGATACGAGATAGACAGGTTGAATATGGACAAGTTCGCTATGAGACCTCTACTTCATTCCAGACATCTGCTCCAGTTCAACACAGAGGTTAGATAAGAGCAATACTAAAAACCACGTGACATGACCTCATACCACGTGTTATTACGTCACACCACGTGTTATTACGTCACACCACGTGACATGACGTCACACCACGTGTTATTTCAGGTGAGTCTGGTAACGAGTAACCAGTTTACAATACTGATGAGACTGATCCTGCTGAACCAGATCCCCGGCAAGTTTATACACGACGACTGGTTAGAGAGACTGTTCTACGGGTGCAACACTTCACAACACTCCAAGTTTACTTTTATCAACGGTAAATTATCACAATTAATATGTTAATTATGCGACGACTTACTGCGCGACTACTCATGATTATGCGACTCTAATAAATAATAATACCCAGATTTTTCATAAGCACGAACAATATCATTCAATCTCAAAATCGGTCAACTGTTAGTTCATATTCAGTGAAAGCAGGATTAATGAACGAATAGTGTGACATTGGGTTCTCAACCATGGAAATTTAGAAGTCCCTACATGCTGTTCTTTCTGGCTCCATGTGCTAGTTAGGGGTCTGAGGTATCCGAAAAATCATGTTTTGAGTACCCAAAGTGTTCTGGGTGCCAGGAATGAGGTTATTAAAGCGGCGAAAATGACCGATTTTGGACTATTTATGAGCTTTTTTGCCCATTTTCATGAGATAAAGAATCAGGAAAGCTGCTCTAGATGATTGAAATGGTTGATACCAATGAGGATACACCCAACACACATAAATATTCGTGATATATGTGATTTTAATGAGAAAAATATGATCTCAGGGCCCATTTTATACCAAAATTTGCCAAAACCACTCGCACTTGTCAAAGCTTCCTCATTTTAGACACATTTAATGATTATTATGGTATCTAACTTATGGTGGATCTGATAGGAGTATGTCTTAGCTTCATTTTAAGCCATCAATGAGCATGCTGGTGTGTATGAAAGTACTTTTATCCTCCCGTCCATCGATATAGTCTGGGCCATGCGCGCGCGCGCGCGCGCGCTTTTACAAACATGAATTTTCTCCCTCAGTATCTATCTAAATCTTTTAAAGACATGATTTGAATGCTATCCTACTCAGCACATGAGTGCTACAGGATGGTGAAAGAATTTCTATAAAAAATCGTTAAATGTGGAAGATATGAGGTCATTATATGTGTGTGCGCGCGCGCGCGCGCGCGCGCTTTTACAAACTTGATATCCTCAGTCCTTTCACATATACTGAGATTTTGTTTCAAACTTAATTGACTCTGAACCGAAATTGCCAAAGGAAACAGATAGTGTAACTCAGAAAGACCACAAATGTATAGTTTGTGAGATATTGAGGTTATACTCCAAATAATTTACAATGATGTCACACCAGAAAACCTCTATTTTTGGTATATTTAACCTCATATCTTGAACGCGCAGTACTGGATTGAGCTAAACTTGGTCAGGTTTTGTAGCCCTGACTATCCTCGATCATATGGAACAGGAATAAAACTGTTTAGATGTTCTATCTTAATTATATTAGGCACTTAGTTCTGAAAAGTGAGAATGTCATTAATACTGCTTTCACTGTATTATATGATTCCACTACTACTGCGTGTTGACAATACGACTCATATACTTATCACTTTAAATTGTTCAATTGATGGATCGATTTTATATGCTACTGGGGGGGGGGGGGGGGGTCCACGTTAAAAAAGTTAAATTCTAAGATCGAGATTTTGGAATTTAACATTAATTACTTTAACTTTTTTAACTTTTTTAACATAAATTAAAAATCAGATTTTGGCTGACTAATCGGTTCAAATTTTAACATAATTACCCAAATTAAACTCAATTATGAGTGTTGACCTTTAGTACTAGTAGTACCTCGCTCTTGCAATTGTTTTCTGTAGTTGTAACTGATTTGATAACTCTACAAAAAAAACACCTTGTATATGTATATATAAAAAAACACATTGTATATATACACATAATTGTATAATTTACTAATATAATCATTCATATAATACGAAAAAAGAATATGGCTTGGCGGTGTAAGTGCGGAAGGGTTATGGAAAGTCTCACATACGACAGATGTTTACGTTGCAATTTAGCGAAGGCATCAGGAGAGTCGCTCATTCGCTTGAAGGGTTCCTGTAGCTGTAATCCCTGTACCCGAACCATCTACTGAGGACACATCATCAGGTATTGATACTCCGGAGCTTCCTCCAGCTGTAATCCCTGTACCCGAACCATCTACTGAGGACGTATCAGTTGTTGTCAACACGTACGTGGTGATACAGTGTAGTTTTTACATAGTATGTATTTTTAATTTGGTGTAAGTGGTGGCCGTTTTATTCTATAAACCGTTTTTAACGAGTTTTTTAACGATGCAGTATTTTGTGAGGAGATTTAGGCAGCATGAACTGTGGCTCATATTTTATTATTTAAGCTGCTCTACGAGCACACACGCTAGCTAGTTGGTTTTTAGATAGTTAAGAGTATTAGTTACTTAGTTAGTTAGTGTAAATTAGTATCAGTCAGGATCTGTTAGCACACAGAACTGTTAGTTTTCGCGAAGCAGGTCTGACTTTCATATATATTCTTATAGTAGACTTCATCATATAAATTTATTTTGAACTTAGTAACAATTTCAGGGAATAAATAGAAATTTAAGATTTCATTTCTATTCTAATATTCACGTATATTAAATACAGTTATATTGTTATGTATCATATGATTTTGTAAACATTGGCCGGTGTACCAAAAACCGGTCCCCAAACAACAACACTTCAAAAAGGGCTGCTGATTCATCAAAACCTAGAACTCAATATGATTCTGAAGACGAATCATCTGCTGATGTTATCACTACTGCGATAATAACAAGCAACTCATTCAAGAGGAGAGCTGTCCCTACTTTTAGGATTCCAAAGATTAAGAAACCGACGGTGCAAAGCAAATTGACGATTATGGATAAATCTTCATCGACGGGTCTGAAGAAGAAGGAGCATTTGCGGGCTAACACTGATAATTTAACCACGAGAACTCCCACAGTAGACAATTCTAAATTCACAATTGGACGACCAATTGATGTTGATAAGATAAACAGCAGCAAGAAAGTGTTAAATTCAAAGAAGGAAACAGCACTTAACAAGTTGTCTACACGACTCATTGAAGGTGGAACTGCAATCAAGAATGAGAATCAGCAGGGGAATCGGGACAAATTGAACTCTAGAAATACTCCTCCAACAAGTTCTCTGAGTACAATTAGACTGCCAGTACACGATGGAAAAGGTGATAAGCCTGTGATTGCGAAGAAAGAGACTGTTTTAAACAAACTTTCTACAAGATTCGCCACAGAAGATGGCACTTCCACGCCGAAAAACAAACTTTGTAAGGAGAAATCCGGAAGAAAGGCGCTCGATGCCGAAACGATTAAAGATAGATGCACGGTCAGGACGAATTTTGAAATTGAATTGTGGAAGTGTAACGACATGGTACCTGGCCAGATTATCAAGGCCAAAGCAATTCAACGGGTTTTATTCAGACTTGGGTGTTCTTTAGAGGAAGCTTGCCTACAGAATATATACAATATTTTCGGAGGAAAAAAATCCAGGTGTCCTACGTTATCAATTGTGCGATCCATGGAGCGGGTATTAAGACTAAAATCTAAGAAAAGACGTCGTCGGATGATGAGTATTTTACCTACCCCGGAATGTCAGAATGGAACAAAGACTACAGATGATGTGGTGCAGAATACTGTGCATCAGCCATGCCCAATAGCTAGAGTGAAACCAATCTTGTCATCGGAAACTATTCAATCTATTCCAAAAATACAAGGAAAGCTGTCTACTAATTATGTCCATGCAAATGTGACAGGGAAGCATCCTTTTGCCTTTATTTCCCACATTGCGGTAATGCTAGAGTTAACTAGATCACTAGGTCCAAGCAATTTGAAAAGTTGTGACGATGAGGAACTTGTGCATAGATCGTTGAATGATATAAAAATAAACAGGATTCAAAGAAATATCTAAATGTAATTGATAGCGCGGAAGATATTGAAAATGAAGTCCCTGAAGTCTTAAAGCAGGTAAAGAACCTATTGGGGTGTGTGAAAGTGAAACAACCAGATCGAAGTTCTGTTTCAAAACATAGATGCTCTCATAATCTAAAGAGCCATTTAGCCAGTTATATAATATAATAACATCTATAAACAAAAGAGCACCTAAAGAGGCTCAGCAAAGTGCTGGCCTATTTACGCTTACGAAGACTCATTCGTTCAATATGTCTCAAAGTAAATAAACTCCTCCATCCTACTCTATCCTTCTATCTCTTGCTAAGTTCACTAAGTTGGTAAAATCATCTTCATTTTTTAAATAAATTTGTCTCTTAAATAGGTCCTTTTTCACAATAATATCATACAAATTAGTCCTGTGTCTACCCACTCGTCCCTTTAGTGTTTGACATCCTAGTGTAGCAAATAACAGAGACTGGTAGGCAGGTGTGTCGTTGTCACTGCGTAGAACATGACCTAGCATTGTCCACCGTGCCTTTTCCACTCTCTCGGAAAGGGGCCTGGTCTGGGTACGAGCGTAGAGGGCCTTGTTAGATATTGAGCTAGGCCAATATATGTGTAGAGGTGTAGGATGCGCTTGAGGTGCTTCCTCTGAAGAACATCTACAGACTCTAGAACATGCTGAGGTACGGCCCAGCAGCAGCAGTTGTACAGGAGCACTGATACTACTAGTGAGTCGTAGAGTTTGATCTTTCTCTTCTCAGTTATCTGACTCCTCTCTGATCCCTGGCACTAAGGTTTTTTTTTACATATTTGATAGATTTACAGATCTGGCTTGACAAAAATTTTCAGAAAAAATCATGTTCGCGGGAAGCAAAAATCCGATGAGTTTTTTAGGGGGGAGGGGTAGGGGGTTGAGGGGGGTTGGGAAGGGTTGTCACATGACGAGAAATTTTTTGCAAAAATTAAACAATCTTTATTTGTTGATATTATTCACCCCTATTGCCTAGAGTGGTGGGTCTGCACTTGAGAAGAGTGGGTCTGGCCGCTAGAATGGTGGGTCTGCAATCTAGAAGTGGGTCTGGCAACCAGAATGGTGGGTCTACAATCTAGAAGTGGGTCTGGCAACCAAAATGATGGGTCTGTACCCTTAAAGAGTGGTCTGACAACCAGAGTGGTGGGTGTGCACTTGAGAATAGTGGGTCTGGCAGCTAGAATGGTGGGTATGCAATCTAGAAGTGGGTCTGTTAACCAGAATTGTGGGTCAAAACCCTTGAAGAGTGGGTCTG